GAAATGGTTTCGGTTTCCTCTGTTAAGGTCTTCAGACTAGAGATCGTTAATATTTTAGCATTTGGGGAACACAATCAATCACAAAACAGCAAGATGTGCCTCTATAGTGAGACCATTTACAATTACAGGCAGATCATTGTTCTGAACGGCAGATCTGACATAAGAGATTGCTCGCATGTAAATATTTTATTTAATGTTCTCCACTGGTTGGTGTCACTGGATCTCATCTAATCTACAGATGTAGCTGAAGTCAAAGTGCGAAAGGAGCACCGGTCTGCTGGTGGCAACAAAATCCAATGAATGTCAAATGAGAGGTGCATGGCTACCGTGAGTTATGGGTCTAATACCACATAACTCATGCTATGCACCCCGGTGGTGTGTAACGCAAAACAGGTCAAATAACGACAACGCTGTACAAGGTAAAGAAGCGTCCTGTTTCATGCAATACATGAAAAACAGTTTTAATATTGGGAAATAGATAGATGGAGAGAGTGGGGGGATATCTGCCTTCACGCACAAACTGATGTACCAATCAAGAAACTATTTGCATTCAGGAAGGAATGCTGCTCTATTGGGGTGATTATATGGAAGTGCTGATGTGGAGCCTGCTGCTGACAGACACCCAACAGAAAGGATTACGTTGGATACATGCAGCTCACCGTTCCTGGATTCTGTCTGTATGTATGTATAATATCCATGTGCAAAGGGTTCCAGGCATATACTGTACAGAAAAAAAACATTTGGTGGTGCAGTACCCATTATCAAATTCTATAAACTGATCCGACTATAGTCAACTGACCCAAAACTGGTCACTTTAATTCCTGCACATCACCAGTCCTCTAACATTTATATCTCCATCACTATTATCTTTTATTAGGTACCCAGTCTCTTACAAATAAGGCATGCATAATGCTCCCCCAGCTGGCAACATGTGGAACTACAAGTCACAGCATGCCCCTCAGCCAAAAGAGACCGCATTTCTACACCAAACAAAAAGCCACAGGTCTCTCTCGGGAAGAGGGAGATTGAAACACCACAATTTAGGGCAAACCACAACAACATTTTATACCACAGCCGTGTTACAGGACGTACAGGATAGGCAGCTTAACCTTATATGCTAATATGCATGAGGTGGTTATCAAGAAAGAGTAATGAAAAGTCTGCAGTGAGCCATTATAAATATCCATAACCGTTTCAGGATATTTTTCATGACACCCACTTTCCTTTTTATACTGTCCGTGAGTTGTCTAAAATACATTTCCAATACGAATACAGAGCGATGGCATTCTTAAAACTAAGTGTACTTCTCTAAGTTATAAAGAAATGTCTGCTGTACACAAACAGGCTTGTTCCATCTTGTATACATAGACATCCATTCAAACATGGATATCAAGAGTCCGGCCACTCCAGAGGTTTCGGATTATTTGCCCTATACTGCCATTTGTATTGCATATTTTTCTATATGCCAATTACTTTACCTAAAGAACAAATCGACTTCCTAGTCCTCTCGAACTAATGTTAATAAAAGTACTGATCGCCCACAGACGCACTTACTGCCATTCTCGAAGGCAGCATTAAGACTGTTGTAATAGCGGCTAGGAGAAATTTATGGACTCCAAGGTCGCAAGTAATTTTTTTTTTCCCCTTCTAAAATGTAAAATTCTATCCTTTAGCATTTACCGTTTTCTAAGCAATTATGCACGTCGCCATTTCCGTTTTAATTCCCTTCTGCCAAGGAGCGTAATGCATTAACCCCCAGCTCACCAGGGGTTAATGGGAGGTGTATTAAATGCTACAAACTGATGCCAAGAGCCAAGTCCATTAAAGGTACTTCATACTAACTGGATACTAAGGCACCTTAAAAGCTCCAGGAGCTATTGATACTTAGAATAAGGGCTGAGCATAATGGCTGCATCTACATTAGACAGGAGAAGGAGGGGAGAAGAGAAGAGAAAAAAAACTGCCAAATTACGCTTGGTTAATTCAGAGTAACAGATCTGCCCCCAAGTGAATTGGAGGCCTTGAATTAATTCTGTTATGACAAATCAAGATAAACGTTCCCCCTAAATTGCATGCGATTTAATTAATTTTTGAGATCCAGTTTTTTTTTTTTTTTTTTCCTCTTTTCCCCTCTCTCCCAGCTAATAGTTCACATGCTCCTGTGCTGTCATTGTGCTTGAGTGGGCAGACTTCAAAGTGATATTAAATAACCAACTATTAGATTTACCTAGCACGTCCTATTGGAAAAACGCCATTTAATTACCTAGCCTGTTCAATTAAAGGGACAGCATTCCCTGAATATAGCAGCTTGCTGTTGATTACCAGGGAAATTAACTCTAAAAAAAAATGGAGGCATCTTATGTAGACCACCATACACCCTTCTTTTGCTCTAAACGGCACACTGGTCTTAAGAATAAATGTTCAGTAACAAAAGGGTTCAAAAATTCAATCATATATAGAGTTATGACAACAACATATGCAACATTAACAGACACTCTACCTGATGACCTATCAAGCAAGGCGAATTATTGCCCAAGGGCTATCTATACAAAATGGCTGGACTGTAGGGATACGGGTGTAGTGCCGCATCTCGCACTCTGTATTTTTAAATCATGAAAAAAACAATCCCCCCCCCT